ATCTATATATATACATATATACATATATATATATATATATATATATATATATATATATATATATATATATATACATATATACATATATATATATATATATATATATATATATATATATATATATATATATATATATATATATATATATATACATATATACATATATATATATATATATATATATATATATATATATATATATATATATATATATATATATATAGATATATAGATATATTAACAAGCAACAGATACATTTTATTAAACATTCTATATATATTGAATATGACTTGAATTTATATTCAGATAATTTTCATAAAAAATAACCTACACAGAAAGTTGAAGTGTGACCAATTAATTACATATGACAATCTTAAGTACAGTATGGTATATCAAGTAACCCTTCATGGAATATTAACATTTACATTTTAGAATCAAGTTGGTTTAACTTGTGGCTTGTATTTTTTCTTGCTCTGGTAGCTGATTATTTTATATAAACATGTATAATACTTCTTATATCTTACCAAATTACGGTACAATGTCAACAATGTATTTTATATCAATATTTCTTACCTTAATGACTGAAGGAGGTCAAAAGATACATTCCTTATAGTATCTGAAATTTGTAAAAACTGCATGTACAGTTTACAATCCACATACCAATTGCTATTTGTGTTACACATGTATACTTTTACCTTTACTATATAACATTCCCTGGGCTAATAACATCTTAGAATATATATGTGTTACTTACAAATATATGGATCTGTAAGTGAAGAAAAGATTGATCCTGGTTTTTTAAAGCACTGGATTCTTTAATTACATAAAATAAGTTGACAATCAGTTGGTGTGCATCTTCATTACAACAGTTAGTTCACACTATATAGAGGCTTAATGATTTTATAAAATGCTTTCTTTTAATTTTTTTTCTGATTTCGTTGATACTGCATACACACTTATGTAGCACTACTAATGACAGATTCTGTACTTTGCACAAAGTAAAATAAATTACAATTATATTAGTGTCAATTAAAGTAATTCTAATTCTAATCTTTATATTTTACACTTGTTTTACATGTAACTGAACTAACTTAACCATATTCTACAATACTAAAATACACACTCATACCAACCATTCACCCCATGCTGGTCAGCACTTTGCCATAG